GGCCTTACAGGCCACCTACTACACAAAGCCACTCTACCAATTCCAAAATACATAGCAGCTCTACCAAATACATAGAATAAACACAAGGAAGTAGCCAAAATTGGGAGACAAAGAAACATGTCTCAAATGAAAGAAATGGAAGCAAGCAAACTTTTGGATACAGGGTTCAAATCCACGGTTATAAGGTTACTCAAGACCATGAGAGCTTCAAGTATCTTAGTGAGAAAGTCAAACACATGAAAAAGGACCAGTCAGAAAATCAAGCACACACTAACTAAAATAAAGAATAATTTAAAGGATTCAACAGTAGAATAGAGCAGTGGTTGCCAACCGGTGTTCCACGGACCACTGGTGGTCTGTAAGGTCTGAAAGTTTGGTGACCTCTAGAGTAGAGGATTCCAAGAATCAAATCAACAGTGTTGATGTAGTCACACAATGGAATACCATTTGGCAATGAAAATGAGCAAAATAAAACTATACAAAGTAATATGGTTGAATAAAACAAACATAAACCATACATTAAATAAAAAGCAAAAAACTATATTCTATCCTCTTTATATAAAAAAACAAACACAGATGAAAGTAATACATGTTGTTAAAAGTTACAAGACTATTTACTACTGAAGGTGGAGAAAGTTAATGGCAGCCTTGGGTGGGGATATGAAGGAAGTTTCTAGAGTGCTAGTTCTATGAATATGCTTACACTATGAATATGAACCAGGAAATGTATATTCTACTTCAATTCAACAACAGAAGAGAAACTAGAAACATTAGAAGTGGAGGATGTGCTGTCTGAATATGAATATTACAGGACCCCACAGTGTGTGAAAAATAACCTACTTTGTGAAATTTGAATAAAACTGTAATATAGTGCTATTGTATTTCATTTTTATCTTTATGAACATATTCTCTACTATTCATCTATTCTGAGGGAAAAAGTACTGATAGATTAAGAGATGGAATTCCCATCATAGAGCAGTACACACCTGGAATATTGTGCTCATTTATAGGTATCATGTTGACCATGAGGGACACAAACAAACTGAAGTAGTTAGAAAAAAAAGACAACCAAGATAATGAAGGGGTTGCATGGAAACCCATGTAACAGGAGGAAAAGATGAGGGACTAAAATGCTTACAACCTAAGGGACTGAAAATATTAAAATACTGAAAAATTGATTTAAAAAACACACATACTACTTAATAGCTTTACTTTTATATCAAAGGTTTTCTTATATTTAATTATTTAACTGCTAGCAGAACTTTAAAATTATCTAAGTATCTGTTCACATTTTAACACATTTGATCAACTTGTTTTGATTTTATGCTTAATTTCTCAATCCTTTCATTGTACCAGAATTAATACAAAAATCAGGAAAGAATAATACAATCTCCCAATCTTTTGTACACTTTTGTTGTTGTTGACCTAAGATTTTTTTTAAAACAAAGTTCTGTATTAAACTCTGCATGGAAAACATTTAAAACATCGATCTATATTTAGAAGCAAGAAGACAGAGCACAACCAGTCTGAATCATGGCATCTAACACATTTGCATGGAAGAAAGGCAGGCAGCTTGCTCAAATAAAGAGGACCCCTAATATACATTATTTGAAGTCTGATATGACTTACATTTCTTCTGATCTCTTGAAAATGCTTGATGTCATGTTCTAACGAAGCAACCACGTAATTAGTGCTAACTAGTTTTAGTGAATACAGTACTCTCTTAAAAAATATAAGTTCTAGACAGTATCAATTATACCTTCAGCCTGTGAAAGCGAACGATATCTCCATTTTTATAAATTATTGGAAGGCTTTCATAATTTCCACTAAAGAGTAGGCAGGTTAACTTTACATTTGTCTGGTCCACAATTGTAACAACCGAACAATAATCTGAAAAACACAAGAATATTTTACCTGACTTTTATTATTTCAAAAGATTTGACAAAATGAGAATATGTTCAGTTCAAAATATCAACCCAAATTTATGTCTCTAAGTATTCTAAGAATAAGATAAAAACACAGAGGCATTTTCTTTGCTCTCAAAATGCACTACAAAATTATTTTACAAGTGTTTCATAAAAACTAAATTTGGTAAAACAAAAATTAAAATCTTACTTAATATAACTTATCTGGAGTGGCAATAACTTATCAAAATTTAAAATCATGATGCAGACAAAAATATTCAATATAATCTAATTTATAAAATAAACAACTTTAGAGTGAAAGCAAAAGACTAAAAGATGTTTGCAACAAATGTGAAGATGAGTCAATATACTGCATAAAGGTCCCATGAGAACTGGTTATAAAACCTAGGATTTCACAGTAAATATGTAATTCCAATGAACGAACAATACATTGAAAATTGTAACAACAAACTCAAATGGGAAATGATTTACTAGTTACATCTATGAGTTTACACACTAGAGCAAGAAATATTTTATATAATTTAAACTGGAAAACAATTAATGATAGTTGATTTGCAATGGAAACAATAACTTCAAATTCTGGTAATAGTAAAACTGCAACATATGCTGCCTTCTAATATACAAGTTTCAGAAAATTGCACACTCAAAAAAATGTTGACTCCTGTCCTTCCCAAGAGCCTAGTAATTACAACATAGAAATAGAAAAAAAAAACACAGAACAGTGAAGGAAAGGG